TTGAGTGGCTATGTGGTGAGTGGCATGATCTATTTTTCTGGCTCTGGCTTCGGGGGGACCGCTGTTGACAAATGAACAGACTGGCGCACAGCTTCTCGTGGATGGAGGATTGTTTGTGAACCTGCAGTGATTATCCCGAGGTTTTGTCGTGACGATGGTTATGCAGTTGAGCGCGTTCTACATGACATTGCTGATAAGGGCGTAAATATGTATATAAATATTTGTTGCAGATTGCATATTCAGATCTTAATACCATACGCTTTCACTGCGACCTCTCCCCAGACCCCTTTCTTCTGTTCTTCAGTCAATCCTCGTCTCTCAAGGACATCCTCTATAACTCTCTTCCAGCGACTCCAGGAGACCTCATTTCCACCTCCACCTATATTGCAAACAGGCCAGTCCGATCCAAACATCACCCGCTCTGGACCAAAAACCTCGAAGACAACGTCTGTCCATGGTTGCAATCTATCAACTAGGGACGCGACGTCTGGATCACAAGTCGAGGCAAGCGGAGGTAACTCTGAGAAGCCACCGGAGAGCTTCATGTGAGTTGCAGGATATTGAGCCATGGCGCTGACCAGGGACTTCCATTCAAGAAACTCGGGATGAGAAGTTAGAGACTCGGGAGTAGAATAGGGCAGACGAAGATTCGGTTTACAGAGATGGTCTTGCGTGATGCTTCGGTCAGTACACCTGCATGTCAATCAGTTATTGGCCTGAACACAACATACTAATAATCACTGTCACTGCGGCGCCTCCATCGTCCGCCCCCTTGTAGATTCTTTCCATCATCTCGACCGCTTCTCTAAGTTGCCAAAGACCGCCTTGCCGTGCATCCACCCCAAGGTCGAAGGTCAGCCCTCTGCTACCGAGATACTTGAGTCCGTCAATGAAGCCCTGACCGAGCATGACACCCGACGGTTTATCTTGAACAAGATATCGCACTCCGCATACTATCCTCCAGACCTCCTCCATTCGGGTCCTCTCCTTAACGAGGGAAAGATACTTTTCGAGCGCGGCGGGGCCCGCCGGCACGGGAGCCCAGGGAACAATTCCTAAGCATAGATGTCTATCGACATCTCTATGTCCCTCACCTGCGATCGGTTCTCCCAAAGCAATGCGAGTCAGCAGAGAGACTTCATCCAGAGCGTGGGACCAGCCAGCGCCCGACTCTTCGACCGTCGAGATGCGGTCTGTCTCGAGAAAAATGAAGCCGCGCAGGTAAGTGTCTTGTGCTGAGTCCGGAGAGGTAAGTGTTGCTGCTGCTGCCGCACGATATTCGTCGACAGAGTGCTGCGATCCAAGTGGGTTGTTGGGTCCATGCCATGCCAGAGTTGGGAGATGCGATTCGGGGAATAGATGGATGTGAGAGTCGACAATTGGGATAGGCATTGCGTTGTTCTTGACGCTTCTCTCCAGTAGTTACGGAGAGGCTATGATTCGATCTGCGACTTGTCGCCTGGGCTGTATCTGGGCTGGTCTGAATGCGGGGTAGGTTGCTTCAGCCGTTACCAAGTACCAAGAGGCATAAGCAACAGAGAAGTTCGATAAGATGATGATCCAGATGAGGTTTCTTGAAGACCGTCATCGAGACCTGTACTTTGTTCTTTAGCCTGAAATAACACGCGATCGGCGGCCATTATGCCGAGAGCGCCACTTGGTTCCATCCAGTTAACAGTGGGCGAGCTATGATTAAGCGAGTACCTTTGAGACATTTGGATGGGGGATATATACTTGGTCCTCGCCGAGCTTCAGTCATACCATGACTTTTTAAAAAGGATCCGTTCCACCATGGTCAGGGTAGGTAATCTATGCGAACCCCGCTTCGGCCTTCAAAGTCCTTCACCCCTCCCCTCCGTCCGTTCCCATCACACGCCTCACATAAAAACGAAGCAAAACATCAAACTACACTTGTGCATCTTGAAGCTAAGCTGCGGAGGTACAACCGAGGTCGTCCGCTTGACCCTAGGTTATTGCGGTCGTTCCTCGTACGAGCATGCAACAATGGCAGCCTGGAGCAAGCCATACCCCTCATGCTGCCCCCTTTATACTCTGCTGATTGGAAGCTGAAAAATAACGAATGCTAATGCATCACGCCTAGACTTTTGTGCCTTGCCCAAAATAAAGCAGCATACAATATTCGAGCTGTCTCACCCGAAATGCCTAGGCCTGCAGAGCTTGCTGTTGGACAAAGCGTCGTTGTTTGGTTCTCCCCGCGGCAACTCCCCCGCTCCACCTCTTTACTCCTCTTTTCCCTCCGGTGGTAACGAATAGTCTACCGCTGCGGGTAGCACAGACTTGGCAATGGAGATCGAAGTGAGGCGAGTAGATAAAGAGGGGTCTGAAGATCGATTGTGCTCGTGGAAACGTTTGGATCACTCAAATTGCCATCTACGCTTCTCCGCGACTATTTCTTCTTTTCGCCCTTCCGTCAACATAGCACGTATACCATCAGGATTGTAACGCATAAGCTCATATTGTCGAGATGGCTGCCCCAGAGATTCCAAAGAAGCAAAAGGCGGTCGTCTATGACCAGCCTGGCACTGTGTCAACCAAGATTGAGGAGATTGATGTTCCGGAACCTGGTGCAGGTGAAGTCCTTATCAATCTGTATGTCTCGCACTCGGAGTATTTCTCCTTTGGTAGGAGATGCTCTGTTATGCTTGAGTGGTAGAAGCAGTATTGTTTCCGTTGTGCTGACAAACGACAATAGAACACACTCGGGTGTTTGTCATTCCGACTATGGTGTCATGACAAACAGCGTAAGTCATGTCGACCTTCACCTGAAGCTGAGCCCTGACGTCTCCTAGTGGGCGATGCTTCCGTATCCTACGCCGCCAGGACAAGTCGGTGGCCATGAAGGAGTGGGCAAAGTCGTCAAGCTTGGCCCGGGAGCTGAATCATCTGGCTTGAAGATTGGGGACAGAGTTGGTGTCAAGTGGATCTCGAGTGCTTGTGGGAATTGCCGTATGTGCCAACCAATACTCCAAAGCTTTCATTTGGAATCTCAGACTGATAAACGAGCTTTACAGAACCATGCCAGGCAGGCTCCGACGGACTTTGCTTTAAGCAGAAAGTGTCTGGGTACTATGCCCCAGGCACATTCCAACAGTACACCGTGGGTCCAGCGAACTACGTCACACCGATCCCTGACGGGCTTGCCTCGGACGAGGCAGCACCCATGCTCTGTGCGGGTGTCACAGTCTACTCTGCCCTCAAGAGAAGCAACGCACGACCAGGGCAGTGGGTCGTCATCTCCGGCGCTGGTGGTGGACTGGGACACTTGGCAGTCCAGCTGGCCAGCAGGGGAATGGGTCTCCGCGTGGTCGGCATCGACCACGGCAGCAAAGAAGAACTAGTCAAAGCCTCTGGCGCAGAGCACTTTGTGGATATTACCAAATTCCCCGCAGACGACAAGGGCGAGGCTATCGTTGCTCATGTCCAGTCGCTGACCGATGGCCTGGGCGCACATGCCGCTCTTGTCTGCACTGCTTCGAATGCCGCATACGCCCAGGCTCTCCTCATGCTGCGCTTCAACGGTACGCTTGTGTGTGTGGGCATTCCCGAACATAATCCTCAGCCCATCGCTACCGCATATCCTGGAGCAATGATCACCAAGCATTACACGATCACTGGCTCGGCCGTTGGTAACCGAACCGAAGCTATCGAGACTTTGGAATTTGCAGCCCGGGGTATCATCAAGGCTCACTTCCGCACCGAGAAAATGGAGGCCTTGACGAGCATTTTCCAGGAAATGGGCGAGGGGAAACTACAGGGAAGAGTTGTTCTGGATTTGTCTTAGAGTTGTCGGCATTCGTTTCTTCCATTACGAGTGCGTTGTTCCTGTATTGAGTATGAGTCAATGTGATTATGATTGCCATCCTTTGCATTGAGGTCTGTTTACTTGATCCCGGTTGGGCTCAACCATGTCCTGGCCCTGGAGACTCATTCCCCGAGTCTCGTTTGCTAAATAAACATGCCAGTGCTGAAAATGATTAGCATGAATTCGATAAAGCTGATCTGAGCGGGAGGGTGCGGGATCAAGGAACAATCAGTTCTGTCGTAAGGCCTAGACAAGATGACGGTCTCCTTCAGGCAACAGTAACAGGGACGTAAATCGTCGATGAGTGGGTGATGAAAGGGAGATATCCCGGAGATGGAAAAATCAAGGTGGAGTCTCGAAAAGAAAAAAAAAGATGACCGACGCAGGATTCGAACCTGCAATCTCTTGATCCGTAGTCAAGCGCCTTACCATTGGGCCAGCCGGCCAGGCTTATTGACGATGGGGCTAATTTGATTATATAACCCAAAGTGATGCGTCAAGAAATAATTGACTGAGTGCTTGCCAATGCCCTCACAATCAGGAATGAGATTATGGAGCTTCATGTTAGGGCTCAAGTGGAAACAGCGCCTTGGTCATGCCACTGTTTGCTGGAGAATTTAGTCTAGTATAAATTAAGTTATTTGCCTAACACTAGCCCTAGTTTTCACCTTATTTTGTGTCTCTATTTCTGGAGCCATGTGAATAATTAGATGGCTATTATAGAGGGATTCCAGTGACAAGTTAAATTATTTTAATGTACTGCTTGCACTGATCATCTGACTGACAAGCTGAGATATCTGATGTCGTTATGGTATTGGTTCATGATGTTTATGAGTACTGCTGACCACAATATATTTCTCAGCGACCACCTTAACTTCTAGTTCAGAGCCATGAAGCAGATGTCGAGATTGTGCCATGTATGTAACAACATGTTCTAGGTGGCGAAGGAGATATTTATGGAGCACCGGTGGTCAGCCATACTGGGCATATGGGAATAGATCAGCATATTACTCCCTTTTCTCAGAGGTCCACTGGTTCAATGAAATACAAAAATTATATTTTAAACGTCCAAGGGTATCTAGATATGGAATCACTCAAACAAAGCATAGAATATGCACAGACAGCCAACCAAATCACACACACACACAATGACCACTAGAAGTCTTAATTGTAAAAGTCATCGACTGCGTTTGGTATCTCCCCCAGATGTAGCCGTGGCTGGGCGTTTCTGCCCAGATGCAGTAGAAGTTGATTCAGCCACACGTACTAGAGCGCCCAACTTTAGAAGATAGGCTTTGGGAGCTCTATTCACCTCGTTCTTCTGCAGGATCCTTCTCAGCCTATCTGAGAATTCACCCAAAACCGCGGGTTGTAGTTTCTCGAGCGCATCGAGGATGAAGAATTTCCCAGTCTCGTCTGTTCTGCCGATAAGCTGGTGATAAAGATTTCGCTGGTCCTCATCTTCTCCTCGAAATGTCGTCCGTCCCCACGTATTACCGTCCAGAGAATCCTTGTTACGGCTGCAGATATCCTCAAGCAGCGTCACCAGGGCTTTTGCTGCGCCTTCCGCACCATGAGGTGCCCGAGCAAGGATGTTTTGCTGAACGCGGTTGACATTCCGTTCCAGCTGTTCGACAACCTCGTCGACATCCAGACCTGTGCTGTCTGCAGGCAGCTGCCCTGTTTGACAATAGCGATCAAAGTCTGCTAGTAGCTTCCGCGTTTTCTCCTGCATTTTATCGAAATAAATCGCCGCACAAGCCCCGGGAGGCATCGCCTTGCATAGACTAGAGAAGACAGCATCATCATGTAGGGCTAGTCGAAACATGGTGGCTTCAAAATCACCCTGAACCACGCACTGTTCTGGAGTGCGTGATTGATCCGCATGTTCCACGAGATCATTGCGAAAGTCTTCGAGGAGTGTGGATGTACTAAAGGCAGAAATGATATCTCTCACTTTCTGAAGGCGGCTCATGCCCCCCTCCGACTCACAGCGAAGATACTGCCAGTTCAGCTGTTCGGCTACGGCCTCAAGCTTGCCCTCAAGAAGCTGCTCGATACGGGGGAAATCCTGCGAGAACCCATTCTCTGACAACGATACATCAGACGCAGGTGGTTGGGATATGAAGCAGCTGTGTAACTGATCAAGAAGCCACTTGAGCTAGGGATTAGCAATCAAATTTGAATCTGATCGGTAGGTATCAAACTTACGAAAATATGCTGGCAGGCCACATCAGGATGGCCCGAGAAGGTCAAACAGGTGCACGTATAAGCATCAGATCCAATATGAATCCGCGGCCTCTCCAACAACTGAAAATCATAGCCCCCCGACGTCGAGCGACAGCCGACAACATCAAACCGACCCGTCAGCCCTATAAGCGCCCTCGCCTCCGAATCACCATCCAAGCGAGCGAGGTCATATATGATGCCAGAGTTCGCCTGGACGGTCGACATCCCGGCCGACTCTCCCCCGCCTGACCTGCTGCCGATACTGGCACTAGCCATCGCAGCACTGCCTTCAGTATATGCTGACCCCTCCGCCTGCGAATCCATAACTGGAAAGTCACCACCTATCGAAAGTCTGTGGAGTTGCCTCGTGGGCGCTGACATAGATCTGTGGCACCAGTTGTGCCAATGAACTGTTTCCGGTTAAAGACCCCAGGATGGTACTAGCAATCTGAGATACTGTGAGGACACGCCCAATTTATACGAACACCCACAAAGTTCGCATCGAACCATGGATGGGAGCGGGTACGATGATACAAGCAAGAACCAACAGAATGCATCAGTCTCGCTCCCACGAGCGCAGCGAACAGCGGCAAGGACGGCAAGGAGTTTGCGTATCGCTCATGTCAGGTCGCATATCCGGATTTGAGGCTCGAACTGCGCCAATTTTGCCATTCACCTTTGCCGCAGGACTTGGCATGATGGGTTGGACTTTGGAAAGTGAATGAGTTATCATCGTCGTCCTCGAACGACGCACCAGCAGTGCCAAGGACCCAGAAATGCATTCCAAATTGGCCCCAAGAGACGGGGGACAAAGAACCATGGTACGGGTCGCCGAACGGTGTCGGAGTGCGAGGAGGCATCTTGACCGGCATGCTGGAGATCATATTACATCACAAGACCTCTACAGAGTCACGACCTATCTAGAAACTATCAGAACGGTTCTACGTTTGCACAAAAAACGGCGAATCAAAATGCTCACCTTCGGTGTCGAAAACTTTAGACCTGCGCTAAGATCCCCATGATTGACCGCAAGACCTGAAGAGCCTCGTAAGGCTTATCAGAGGAGGAGGAGGAGGAGGATTGGATACAGCTTCGATGACCTAGCAAGTGAGAAGCATCGAGAAATATGAAAACGGGTGGATGAGACGTTGTTTATCTCTGTCTGTAGCCGCAGGAGCTGAGTTGTATGTAGATGAGGCTTTTAAAGCCAAGATTTGAGCAACGACTCGCGGAGTTGAGGGGAGGGGCATCGGCCCCGAGCTTGTGCAGCAGTTGTTTGACATGCGGCACAGCGATATCTTTCGTATATTGCGGTTACTACCTACGAAAGTAGACGCCTGATCACAGGTCCGAGAGGGAGCGAATTGCCATGTCTAACTTGAGTCTCATTCTAAAAGCCTAGCAGACACAGAGCATGTGTATTTATGGGGTATCCGATGAAATTGACCTATGTGCATATCTTCAACAATTCAAAGCGAAATTGACATATGCTAAACAAGTTAGAACACGATATAGTAGGCCTTGAAAGCATAAAGGGGTATTGTCAAGGAAATTCGTTCAGTCGTAAACTCTGTGCATTGCAACGGACAAAAGAGAAAGAGAAGGAAAGGGATATATGTTCCTGGATGCCTAAAAAAAAAAAAAAAAAATAATAAATTAAGGATGCTCGAGCGATGCCGAACACACTCATTCTCAAGCTGCAGAATTATGAACTGCTCCTCGCAGCATTCCTCCTCTTCGCATCTTCCAGAGCTTTCCGGAGCCGCTCCTGGTGCTCAGGATCTCCGTCCGGCTTCCTGGGGCCAGGGGTCACCGTAGGCGGACGAGGACCTGGCAGCAGGACGTCCATGGGGTGCACAGCAGGAATGGTCTCAGAAGACATAGGTTGCTCTACCACTGGCGTTTTGCCCAAGGATTCAAGAAGATCATTGATCTTAGCAATGATCTTGGAGGGACCAACGCGCACGCTCTCCATTTTTGAATGGAGATCTTTTTGGATCTTCGCATCTTCGTTCTTCTTCTCGTCATCCAGTCGGCGGAAGATCTCAGGATCAGCGTTGGAGTAGCGAGCTTCAGCGACAGAAACACTATAATCCGCGTTGTTGAGGGCCGTGTCAGCGACACCAAAGCTGTGCAGGATTGATTCGGAATCCTGCCGCAAGGATTCGACCAGAGTAAACACGGACTTCAACAACTGCTCGACCTCAGTAACTGCTAGACCAGATGACTGAATCGCCTCAGAATCAATCCGTGTCACTTTGGCAGTGACCTCATCCAAGAGACTCTGGTTCTCGCCTAGTCCGAGTATGATTGCATTGTCAAAGGTATCCATCAGCCTATTAGCCCGATCGTCACGCGCCTTGGCTGCTTCGAGTATATTTCGCTTCTCCATCTGATCAAACTCCCCGTCCAACTTTTTCAGAGCAGCAGAATCTCCCATGAACACAAGCGGGCGTCTTTCCGCCTTCTTGCGTCGGCGCTCACGGTCCAGGGCGATCTCAAGACGCTTGTAATAGCGTATTTCGAGCTTCTGATAGATATCGTTCACGATCTTCATCGTGTGAGACAGGTTGTACTTGTCGGTGACAGAATCCTTGATCTTGCTGTTTTCATGGTCGAGTTGCGCCAGGGCAGATTCATAATGATCCTGAAGCGCGGAAACCTCCCCCTTCAGACGCTCATCCAGCGGATTGTAAACCTTCGCGACGAAATCGTCCAGCTCCTGTCTCTCCTCGTCCAGCTGTACACGAGCTTCTTTCTGGCGAAACTCTTCTTCCAGAACGTTGATATCGGCATAGCCAATTTCCTTCTCGTTGAACAAGTCATCAATATGTTTTTCGGACTCCTCCTGCCGTCGCATACGCTCCCTGTCAGTGTTCTCACGTCGGATCTTGGCTGCAGCCTCCCAAGTATTGATGGCCTCGCGGATATAGCTGAAGTTATCCGAGTATTTCTCCAAATCCCTTCTGGTCGTAACGTGCCATGAGCTTTCGGACTGCTTGGCTAATGGGGATGAGACCATAGAACGCAGGTCATCAATTGGACTACCGGTCTTTCCTTGCTTAAGAGCCGCCGGCAGTGGAGGCGGCGAAGATGTCCTTCGAGAAGTTTTATTCCTATAAGCGACGCTTTTCTCTCGGATAAGCCCGATGAAAGTTTCATTATAGTCTTTTTGAGCTACTGAAGACGTCACAGTACTTGACCTGTTTCGAGTCGGTGCTTTGGGCGCGTTCGACATTACACGCCCACTTTCCGCAGACGCTTGACGCAGGGCAGAGTATGCCTGGTACGCAGGGCGGTCAAAGGTGAGGTCGTCAGAGCCACGTTGAGGACCTTCAGTGTATCGAAAGGGAGTATAAATGGGCTGCGGAGGGTTTGTTGCTAACGGGGAGAATGTCTTCTCATTCATGGAGGGCGGGACGGATGTAGCCCGCGAGATTGGATTTTGAGCGTTAGACGAGGAGTCTCTGCTTACCTTTGCCTTGAAGGCATTAGGCTGCGAGGCTGATCTTTGCAACCCCGATGGTTGGGGTGTATGGAGTCGGGGAAGAATTGGACGCCCTCCTGGACTATACCGGCCTTCTTCCGATTCCCTCAGGGCATCATTGGAAGAAGAACACTCCGCATCATATTCCTCTTCCGATTGGACCGGAATCAAGCCCGACTCGACGGGAGGAGATGTTGAATTCTGCGGGATTGGCAACGATTGTGGTGCCTCTTGATCCTTCTTCTGTTCAGGTTCGATGTTGTACAAGATCTCACGCAGTTTTGTTTCCTTGGCCATGAACGCCGTGAATATCTTGAAGCGCTCCTCGTCAGAATCGGCGACCTCCTCTTTTCGCAGCATCGCTACATAGCGTGCCAACGACGACTTGGACCAAGAGTCTAGGTCTTCATAGGGCTCTTGTGGTTTGGGCTGCGGGCTCGCTGTGTTGGGTCTCCCGCTACTAGTTTCACCAATGGCACTGCTCGACGCAGGCGTAGCCGTGCGCGACGGAACCTCCTTCCGAGGAACCTTGAATTCCTGCTTTCGTTGTGGCATCTCGACAGGGCTCGACTCGTGCATTGAGGGCCTGGTTTCGGGCCCTGAGGCCAGACTCTCCCGAGATTGCTCGACAGCGGGCTTGGTCTGTGGGGTGATAGGTTGGTTCCAAGCTTCGATAACACCATCAATACTTTCAGATGTCTCAGTGGCGGAGATGATACTGTATTCGGTACCGCTACTATCAACCCTGACAGGACGGGGCGGATCACGCATCTCCGGCGTAGTGCTCGGACTAACTGGTGACCCATTGTCATGATGCTGCTGAGGTATATGTTGCTGAGGGTATGCAGGTTGCGCCGTGGGTGAAATCGTCATTGGCGGAGTAGATACAGTGGGCCGGTTACTCGATTCAGGAGTGAAAGAAGCCGGCTGACTTGGGAGTGAATTGGCTACAGTCGAGGAGTTAGATGGCTGGCTCTGCTTGGGTTCAAATATCTCCACGTCGACAACTGTCCCGGGTGTAGGTGCCAGGTGCTCCCAATCTGATGGGGTTCCAGGCCCCAGGCCCCAAGCGTTGGCCGGAAACAGGTTAGGACCGGTCTTGGGTGGTACTGGCGGAGCAGTTTCTGAAGGAAGGTTCGGTAAGGATGTGTTCGCAGTTGAAGCTGGAAACTGCTCGCTTGGCAAGGTCTGGGGCCATGGTTGCTCCGCAGGCGGAAGCTGCTGGGCCGGAGGTGGAGGAGGACTCATGCTTTGGGGCAGGCCTATGCTGGCTTCAGTCGCATGTGCTGAAACCGAGTAGGATGGCACCTCAAAATGTTGACTGGAAGGGAATCCTGCATAAGCAGGGGGGTTCGGCTGTTGCCATGTCTGGTTGTCTAACGGTGCGGGTTGAGTCTGGTAACTGGGAGGGATTGGCGCAGGTGGAGGGGGAGGCAGTAGAGGCGCAAGAGCTTGCTGGGACGTGTGAGAGGCGCCTGTAGTCCACTGCTGATGATTCTCAAAGGAGGAAGACTGTAAGCCATACCCAGGAGTAGCTGGCAGAGGCTTGTGATTGTCAGGGGAGCCCACTGTCGGCGACTGAACTTGCGCAGGGCTATGATGCTGGTGCTCCGCCACACTTGGAGGTCGAGGCTATACAAGACATGGTAAGCATGAGATCGTCCACGTATAACTGCGTGAGGATTCAGGCACTCACAGGCAGCGGCGGAGGCGCCAGAATGTGATGCTTATATCTCATTCCCCATGATGTTGTATTCAGGCCGCCGGGAGCACCAAGCACCGGCGATCCGCCTGCGCCAGGTGATATATTGGAAATAGATCCGTACGTATTAGGATGATACGAAGGAGCTGCAATTGGCGCAGGAGGAGGGGGAGGGGGAGGGGGAGGTGCCACAGAACCCGCTGGCCATGAGGATTGCTGGTGTTGAGTTGTCGGAGGTAAACGCCATTCTGGTTGAGAAGGACTTGAATGCGGTGGACCGGTGGAATGTGAGTAAGAATGCGATCCGTACATGGCTAAGAGCTTTTCTTTGTCAGTTACAGATATGCTCCTGGACAAGCATGGATATTGCCGGTGGTGGTCTGTTTGTTTCTTTGAAAGCCACTTACCGCAGAACCGGTGGGGTTCGGATGATTATGAGCCTTACAAGGAGAAAAAGAATCAATCAAACCCTGGATCAGAAGGACAAGATAAAGAAAAATGATCTGGTGACACCGGATGGCCAACCTGCGTCTTGACAAGAAATAATTGCGATGACCCCGGGGGCCCGAGTCCAGGTGATGATGGATGGAAGAGGTGCCTGAGGCTGTGCTGAGTGTATTTTGCATTGTCTCCCTTTAGGCTTCGCCCTCTCCAACTCTGCCACTCAACAACTCGACCCACAAAATACGTCGAAAACAAAGCCCGATCATCATAATATTGCTAAATATTTCTCGTTCTTTGACCTTAAGAGTCCTTGGCCACAGGACACGGCCATGGTTTCGTCATGAACCCTCACTAACCTCGACTTCAACGAGGATCTTGCAAGAGGACGTCCCGATCAATGACAAGGCAGAGGATGAACGTCCTTCTTCCCCATCCTTCGCTCGGGAACAATAAGACTGATGGAATGTCAATGCTGACGAAGACCCTCAGTCAGTATCATATTGACCTATATCTTACTGACAACCTTCGACAGTCGATTGTATACAACACGCCGGACCTCAGCAGGTCAACAGATTTTCAAATCAACACGCTTTCTGTTACCCTCATGCCTTCGCGATTTTCGTGGGTTGGCTTTGATAATGAAAGGCAGCCAAATCGGGAAACTCCGGGCTGTCCTTTGTTCCTGAATGCTACCATGTTTCTGAACATTCGGGAATAAACTGCGAGCAACCGAAATAGGGTAAACGAAGGTCTACCATACCTAAGGAACGACCATCTAAGCATGCATTCAGTTCTTGTCTACTATGTCTCTTTGTCCTTGACCCTCTGGACTTTCGAAAGTCTAATGTGTTACATATCCCTGAAAGAAACAGCCTTTTGAGCGTCTGTTACCCGGTCATTGGATGAAGGGTTCTTTGTTACCCTAAATATTCGACATGCCCTCTCTCATTGCTGGCCATCGAGAAGAATTAGATATATACAATGTTCTATCGAATGACAAGATTGACTTGCACCATTCACCCATTGATCAGCCATACCAACTCCTCGTCCAGAATTCCTGCTGTTTGTTGTTGAAATCATGGCCACCGGTCTTACTCCTCCAACAGATCCCAAAGCTGCTCGAAGGTTCTGGGGGCATGTTTTCCTGAACTATCCGCCTCGCGAGGTGGTTGACGCACCAGAGTTTCCGCCAAGGCCGGACCTGTCCCAAGAGATCGACTGGGCGCCATATGTGGAATCGAAAGATGCAAGACTAGCACGCATCTTGTGGGATTGTCCCACTCAAAAACTCCGACAGTACTTGGACAGCCTATCCCAGCACCCTTTTCCTCGGCCTGATGACGCCGATACAAGGGCAATCAAGCACACAGAAGGACTCGCCTTAGAGGTGTACGAGCTTCTGCTGTTGGAGCACATGTACCCCCTGGCAGAGTCCGAATGGGAAAGTAAATGGACCCAGATGGGCATGGACCAGGCCAAGTGGCCTTTCAATGATATCTTAGAAGTCTGGGGACATATGCCTCATACTGGTCCCGTCCTTATTCGAGGCGAGGATGTGTTGACTTCCCGCAAATTGACCGTTGCAGTATTGAGGCAGGAGCTTAGGGACCGAAACCAGGACCACGCTGGGACTTCACAAGTCTTGCGCCAGCGTCTTTACGATTATGAGCGAAAAACTCTCACACTCTTTTCCAGAAGCGACCTCTCACATTGGAGGATATCCGAAGGGAAGCCGCGTAAGCGGAGAATAAATCCGGGCGACGATTTGAACCCGTTGGACATGTACACCTGGGCCATTCAACTCAGCCCATACAACCCTACATACTGGGTCAGCCGTGCCTATTGCCACTACCAACAGGCCTTTTTTGATCTTGCGATCGGAGATGCCTACCGAGCCCAGCTTCTCTGCGAGGTGCTTGTCGATGCTCGGTGCAGAAACCGTCAACCCGGGCTTTACCCCCGAATCTGGCATGCGATCTCTCAGCACATCCTGGCAGGGATGAACAGTGAGACGGGAACCGTCCCGCCAGAGGTGGAAAAACTGCGCCAACCTAACGGGGTTAACTACTTCATCCCAACCCTTCGAAAGGCACTTCATAACATCATCAGCCTCAGTCTCGCTGCACTTCAAGCCCGAGAGGATTGCAAGGTCATGGAGAAATACCTTCCTCAGAGGGTTGTCATGCCGGACCGCGATAGACGACCTTTCGAACGACGTCACGAGGTAATGGAGGCTTATTTCGAGGAGACTCACAGTGAAAAGGAGGCGAAAAAGCTTTGGTTTCACGAGTCTCGGGCAGGAAGGGTCTCGACAGAAAGGCTATATCCGTATGAATCGAGTGACAAACATCGGACGGGCCAAGATTTCCTCGATGAATTGAACCAGAGGCTCTTCAGAAACAATCAAGCCCTCCCCTGGAGGAGATGCAAGGTAAAGTCAGTTGATCGCCTCAAGCCAGCAAAGGATTCCGCCACGGCGCTAGGGGTGTTTGCAACCGAAAACATCAAGGAAGGGCAGATGATTTTCGTCGAGGAGCCTGCAATGCGGGGACATCTCAGTGTGAGCAGGCTGCCATGGGACCGGTGTGAAGATAGCGCAAGAACGCCACGATGCGACAATTGCTACAAAGAGCTTGATGCCGCGACGCCGGAAGTGGACCAAGAACGGATCAGGAGGATCAAAGCCGGAAACGACGTGGCAGCATGCGAATGCGTTCTGCTCGATGGGAAAGAAGCTATACCGCTAAGCTACTGCGCCCCAGGTTCTGGGCCCAAGACATGCTCCGAGATTGCACGGAAGCTTTATCACTTTCGGGCCTGTGGGAAAAACTGGAAATGGCTGCACGATGCTATGCGCCCATGCATGGTGCAATGGCGTGATGGAAGTCATCACTTTACTCACACGAATGAGGCCCATGGAACATTGTTGAGCCTTCTCCTCAGGGAAGTGTTCGACATCACACTTGAGAGGCGCGAAAGGTTTCGCGACCCAAACCTCATGGCGCACGAGATTGACGAACTCTTGATCCTTGAGGATAAGTTGGACAGGACTGATGAAAAAGTAGCATTTCCGTTCACGTTGGCCGCCAACATCCAGGTCCCATTCGACATTCTCATGCAGCTGGGAGTGGACATATTCGGCGACCTCTCGTTCGACACCTGGGTCATTCAAATAGTGTTGAGAAAATTGCTGATCAACGCAATTCCCTGGGCTAATGTACCGGTCCTGAGGATGAGCAAAGAGCCAGTCAAGAAGATTGTCAGGCGGAAGGAGATTGACAATCCAGAAAAGCAACGAGAAATTATTGCAGAGAGGGAAAGCTTTGAAGGCTATGACCCGTCATTTCGAGCATTGTATCTCTATCCAGGCCTCAGCCTGTTCAATCATGCCTGCCCAGAAAAGCATAACGCAGAGTGGGGATTCGACTTCCAGGAGGTCCCAAATCGTGTACTTGTATGGGCAAAAGAAGATATTCCCGAGGGCAAGGAAATCCTCATTTCCTACACCGAATCGCCCTTGACAGAAAGGGGTATGCTCAGGCAGCTTGGTCGACAATGTGCTTGTGACGCCGAACACGAGGACGAGTCGAGCGATGAGGATGATGCTCCGCAGCAGCGTTCTCAGTACCCGCCGCTGAGCGCGGCACCTCGTGTTACGACTCCAGATACCAGTGCCGACCCGAGTCAGGGTCCTTCTACAAGGGCACTCGGGGCCCAGACGAAAGCTATCAGATCACAGATGGACGGAGCTGACGACGACAGGGAGGAATTTGCAGCTAGAGAGCAACATTTACTTCCCGAAGCAACTGAGGCCGAACAGCAGTTTCTAATGGAGCTGGAGCATCATATGGCAACAAGAAAGCGCCCATACCGCGGGGAATGGGAAGAGACTGGAGATTACAAGCGTCGACAGTTCGCTTCCTAGAAGCTGCTCTGCGGAAGGAGCACCAAAGCTCAATGCAGAGCTATTTCACGGGTTTCCTACACAATGGCAGCGGGACCTGAGGTACCTCCTTTGCCAGCGAGCCGAGCAGTGACTGTTCATCTTGAGGGGCATCAGATTTGATGCATGGATTGTGTGTCTGTTGATTGTGATGGGTGAATTTTCTGTATATTTTTCTGAGATTACCTTGCGTCACGCGGCTTGGCTCGGTTTGGTTTTCATCGCCGTTGTGATTGCTGTGTGTTTGTAGTTTGGGGTTGGCAGGCGAGGACGAGGAGCCTTCGATGATAATTTCTGTCGCTTTTCTGGATTTCAATGCGAATGAACACTTGTGCTGTCGGTAGTACCTCTCGAGCGTCACGGTTGCACTAGATTCAATCTGCCTGATATCGCCGGAAGACCCTACGCGAGCTCGGTGTGTCTATAATCAAAGTGAAGAATTCCGGATGTTGCCCATCATGAAAGGAGACGCGCCATCAGATTGAAGAAGCGAAGTCGATTGTATGTTTTGAAAATTCCATTATCGCATACAGAGACACAAGAAACCTAACACATCCGGTGAAGTACAGATATTTAATGAAAAGCCGAACCCCATCCTTTATAGCACAGCATAATGGACGGAAATTCAATGCCACAAAAGGTTTATACACAGAACCGCAGCAACCCAACCAGTGCAGCTCTAGATGAATAAATGACGTTGCCTGGAGTCGCTTAGGCCATCACTCTAAGCCGTCTTCCCAGCTTCTCTAATTCTCCAACAACGCCTCCTCCGGCCAAGCTCCACTTCTCCCCAACCCACTCGTCATTGATGTTTTCCCGCAGAAGTCCACTGCGTGCGAAGTATTCCATGAAGCCTCGAGCCTCATCCCTTGTAAGGCCGCCAAGAGTCTGAAGCTCCAGAGCACCCTCCTTAGCCGAGGCGGGTTTAGGAGAGTCGAACGCGTCAAGGATGCGCTTGTCAACCTTGCTGTAGGGATCGGCCTGAGGGAATTCGGGAGCGGAAGGACTAACACCAGCCTGGCGCGCGGCTACCTGCTTGAGAGCAACTTCGAAGCTGTAGATGGTGGGATTGTTGGAAGCGGAAGTGGCATAGAGCAGCATGCCCCCGTTCGGAAGGGTAGGCTGACCAGCACCGGGCTTCAACAGCGAAAGGAAGTGTCTTACGAAGACGAGATCATGAGCATGAATGGGCTCAAAATCAGCACTTCGGTATTCAGTGTTCCTCATCCAGTGTGCCAGACCATCTACAGTAGCAAGAATGGGAGGGCGAGGCTTGAAGGCCTTCTCGTAGCCGGGGGACGCAGAAGTTGCAGTAAGTTCAGCCCACAGCGCTTCAAAGACAGGCCAGGCGACAGCAGGATCGTTAATGCCAAGAGTAGCAAGCTCTGCCAGGTTCATGCTGGGTTTCACAGCCGACTTGAGAGCGGGATGCGCCCGAGAAACCTTGAGCCCCAACAAAACCTCCTCGTTCGCTTTGACCGTACGAGACAACAGGGCAGCTGTTGCTTCATTCTGGACATATAGATCGGGGACTTCGTCAGAGAGGGGCGCGTAGCCGGTGTGTGCGATGACCAGGTCCTGGGCTAAAATGTTCTGTAAGCCCACGTACACCGATGAAGCAATCAAGCAAAAAGAAAATCAAGATCCAGGTAAGCAGGGTCGCAACATACGTTCAGGAACAGTAAATACGACCCATTTCTTGGTAAAGGCCATGGCCATGGCTTGCAGCAGGTGCACACTCTTTCCCGTTCCTCGCACACCAGTAACGATCTTCTTGATCACCTTGCCCTTGTCTTCGCCTTCACTCGAGATCATGTCGAATTGTCTTCCCAGCTCCACAGTCTCCCGTCTTACCACCGTGCCGGGACGGCGGAATATCGACCAGCCCTGTTTGGGCTTGAAAGCCTGCACAGCTCTTAACGGATCGATCAGCGGCAGGGGCAGACCCAGGACCGTTCCGCGAAGGCGTGAATCCACCATCGTCTCTGCTGTGAGGTCCTGCATGCCCTCAACCTCAAGGGCGTTCGGGTTACTGAGAACGATACGTTTCCGGAGCGCCTTGCGTTCTCCCACAGGCGGCGGACGGGCCCTGTCAACGGGCTTCTTCTTCTTCATCTTGGCTGACTTTGCCTGACGGTACTTAGGAGGACCGTCAAGACTAGCTTTCTTCTTTGTTGGGTTCGCATATTGCACCGGTGATGAATGAAAAGCCGCTACTCTGGGTGTTGCCAACGACGGTGGGAGAAAAGCTCGAGGCGTCGGACGAAGCCGCGTCAAGCAGCTCCAGCAGAAAGAGGAAACCATTGCGACACACCGGCGCAGAGGCCAGCGTTAACCGATCAACGGAGGCGGCTGGAAGGTTGAATGAAGAGGGAGACAGGTTGTTGCTGCTGATTGCCCGAGTGTATCAAGCCAATGCGTTTGGGGTCTCGGAGCAACATTTTCGAACTTCTCCCGTTGCTATTTAGGGCTTAGCGTTGTGGCCATTCTAAGCATGGCATCGGAACTTGGGTTAAAGCGGCCTCCCAAAATTTATTCCGCAACCTTTTTTTTTTGGCCCACTTCGATCAGGATTAATACTGGTCCATGATAATTGTCTACATTTCGCATTTTCCAACTCCACAGGTATATACTGTCATTCTTCAGAATCGGTCTAGGCACCCTTGTCACAATGGCCGAAGTTGAAATGACGACCACTGCCTCTGAGGCGAAGCCCAAACCAGAGAGACTGTGAGTACAATGCCCATGGGCATGACAATAACCGCCTCACTGCAGATGCTGATTCTTCCGATTCCCCAGTCCTGTCACAGTCTCCAAGCCCACGCCGTACACTTTCGACTTGGGCTACCTGATGGCCAATGATCCCAACCCCCTCGAACTCCCCCGCTCAGAGCCCTTGAACCTCTCTCTGAAGGCCACCGCGCGAGACGGCGCTCAGTCCCTCCTCAACCAGCTCCTCACCACCTGCCCGATTACATCTTCCGCACAGAACGGTGTCCTCCTCACCCTCCCTCCCCCAACGACTGTACTCCCGCGACACAAGCCCCTGCCCACACCCAAGCCACCTACCAAGTGGGAGCTGTTCGCACGCAAGAAGGGTATCGGCAAGTACAGCAACAAACCTGGTGCTGCGTTGGCGGACAAGGAGCGCCGCAAGAAGCTGGTCTACGACGAAGAGAAGGGTGAGTGGGTACCTCGCTGGGGGTACAAGGGCAAAAACAAGTCGGATGATGAGTGGCTGGTAGAGGTCAACGAGAAGGACTGGAAGAAGGAAGAAGAGGCGGCGGCTAAGGGTAGTTCGATCCGTGGCTTGTCGCGTGCCGACCGTAAGGACAGAATACGCCGCAACGAGAGGAAAATGAGATCGAACGAGCGGAGATCCCGCAAGTCGGGTGGTGGATGAGCGAGTAAATGCGATTTCGGATGCACTGGACTGTTGTTCTTCTTTCATGTGTCTCAATCACTGGGCTTGGCCAAACAAAAGCAGGAGTTTGGATTGGAGTCGCCGGTCTTTCTATTGTTTACATCACTTTTACGGATTTTCATTGTTGGACCCAAACAAAAGCAAGATCAGATTAATGCATCATACCCCGATCATCTGAGATATCAAATGCAAAGTCTTAGAGCTATGTGTTGGGCCCATTCACCTTCGTTTTGGCTTTGTACTCAAGTTGACGCAGAAGACTTCAGTTTGGCTATTTTACAATAAGAGGCCGATAGAGGCACACGAATGGCGCACAAACAAAGTAAAGAAAGGACAACTAAGGGGTATGCACGCAACGGAAATAAGAAACATCCAGGAAAAGCTCCAAGCTGGGAATCAAATGGCAAAAGAAAAGTAAATGTGACGTTTCAAGTACATGTACGTAAAACAATCTGGACACCAGGATACAGCACATTAGCGGCAAAGGAAGAGGCAATTTGTACAACAAAAAAAATGGTATGAAAGACACATAACCCGACTCCGAGGGCGCCAATCTATGCACTTCTTTCGCAAAGTACCACATTTGCAGAAACGGGAAAAAATGGTGATGAGTGCACGGGAGGAAAGGGTTGAATTTAATAATTCTTCAGCGACTGTGTGCGCGGAAACGAGGAACCAAGATGGCGAAGTAGGGAGAATCACGAATTGCAGCAGGGTCTTGAGAAAACGTCAAGTTCAATGTACAACTTCAAGAAGATTAGTTTGACCTCGGATCCAGTCCGTGTCTTTAAGCACGATGCTTTCTGAAAGGGGCAAGAAGAACGCATCGGAGAATTTTGGAAAGAGGGCGATGGATGTAGCTTGAGAGATGGCAGGCCAGCAGTGTCAGCAACGGTACAACTGCACTAAGGATCAATCTGAGTGGATCTGTCATGACAAAATGATAGTTGAGTTGCGGGACAATGGATGTTTGACCTGAAGAATCAAGGTCATATCTGAATCGGAGACAAGGGGGGCCCGAGCTCGGGAAGCTGGGAGACGCTTCTTGTGTGTGTAGTCTCAATGTTTTTGGGCTTCTGTTTCCGGTTCTTGGCTGTCTCAGGACGATGCGGTGGTTCCTCCTCGGCAGCTGCTTGACTGCTGCCGGAAGAAGATATGGCTCTTTCGTTAGCATCTGAATAAGGTAGGGAAGAGGAATCAACAGCTCCCGTCTTCGAAGATGTGGCCTTCTCCTTTTCATCCATCTCCCTTTCAAGCTGCAGATACTCTTTCTCTGTCCAGCAACCCTGCCAGCAATTCTTCCAGTCGCATACGAGAAAATGGAAGCAAAAGGCGTCAATCTTCATGCAAGGCTGGAAACAGATGCAGAGATTCCGATAATCCATCTTGTTCTGATCGACATAAGAGTGGAGGAGATTGAGGTGGCAGGTGATTGCGAAGAGAAGGTAGTAGTTGTAGGGCGGCAGTTTCGAGAGCTCATCTTTCAGCAGTTGTGGGGCGGTAGTTGCGCCCTCGCATTTTTCAGCAATCATGGCCTGGGTATCCTTCGGAAAAAGTT